AAGTGTGTATACATTTCTTTAGAAGACTCTGTGTGCCTGTGTGTCTGTGTGTATTTCCCTTGTATTCCATTTCTCAGCTAGGAGATTGGTTCAAATCAATTTGCTTACCCTGAGCAGAAATACGATTTCCCCCTTATATTTACTGTACCTGTGAACAGCACATGTTTGCTAGATGTTTTCACTTCTGTGATGTTGTGTGTTTGTTTCAGGTGGCCTCATTATTTCCCATGTTTGTTGTGGGGTACATTGAGCCAAACAAGTTTCAGAAGATCATTTATATAAACATGGTAACATTTCTAATGTTTATAAATCAAATATTAAGATAAGTTCCCAGAGCTTATAAAACATAATTAATTCTGTTATTGTAGTGTTGAATGCATATAATACTATGGTATCCAGAAAGAAAACTACAAACGTGCATTTCAGATACCATATTATACTTTCAACTAGATTGTAGATGTGTTAGACTCTCTATGGCTTTTTTCTGTTTTATTTATTTTTGTCTTTAATTTTGAAATGGTCTTTTCTAACTTAGCCCTGAGATTTCTAATACTTTGTGCAAATGTGACACTCTACAGTTAAAAGTTTATATTGGTGCATTTTATTTTTATCTTAGTTCTTAAGCATATCGTCCTTAAAACAAAAAAAAAGTAATAAAGCTTCCTCAGTGATGGAAATCAAGAAGTAAACAGTGAAAACAAGATTATGGAAATATAGTTATAACTGTCTTTATTATTTTGTTATTTAAACAGTAGAAATAATATAACTTTTATAACTTTTCTTTGTCCAAGTAGCGGATAGAGAAAAAGTGTAATTGTGCTATGTGAATTTATGGTCTTAAATTTTAATACTTAGAAACTAGCAGTGACTTGAAATTCTATGGGCCAAGGCTGTTAATTTTCTGTGTATGAGTAACATTTCTGTTAGAAATGACTGTATGCCTCCAAAGTATTCATTCTGCTATGCATGTAATAACTGTGAAATAAATGGTTTTATTATTTTTCAGGTTTCAGTTATCCTCTGTTGTATTTTGATGTTTGGAAATCCAATGTACTTATCTTCATATTATTCTTCATCTTTGTTAATGACATGGGTAAGTGAGTGCTTGTTAAGCTCGTGAGGATGTCCCCCGCCACTAAAAGCAGGTTTGTGTGTCTAGTACAAGTATAAGAGAATAAACATGGCCATTTGCTGATTATTCACATGAATATTTTTTCCCAGATGAAGATGTTTTTCTATCTTATCCTTGAAAAATAGTGCAGTGCACAGTTATCCTTTTTAAAGCAATACCCAAGTAAATATTTTTAAGGTGATCATAAGGTATTGAGATTTACTTTAAAAACTTAACCTCCAGAATTTATGGTAAAATTATTTCTTTTCTCTTAAGTCCCTTTAGTAGGCTATTTATTACAGTGACACTACCATTGCCCAAAATATTTTTGGAACTCCTTAAATTGCTTTCACAGACTTTGATACATTCTTTGGAATATTCTTCATGATGTCAAATCTTCATCTTTCAAGGTTGGATTTAACTTTTGGGATTGACCAAAATCTTATTAATAAATTGAATGATAGGACTGGGTGATCGAGACTTTGGTCAAACCATAATAGAACTGATTTTCATGTATCTATAACTGAGTTATCCTTAAAGACAGTTTAGAAAGTGGAGTTCCAAGCTATTCTGAACAACAGCAAAAATTATTAGAATAAGTGTACAGCCTCCTAATGTACCTTACTCTCATGGAGTGACATTCATTTGAGTATATATAACACTTGCCTTGTGTGGTGCACTGATTAAATATTTTAACATTTTTACTTCCTTTATACTTTTTGCCTCAAAGTAATGAATCTCTTCACTTTCTCTTCCCCTCTAAACATATGCTTGCTCTTCCCCACATTGGGTCAAAATTTTCAGCATTACAAGATGGTGGTACCCACACACCATTTACCTTTCCAGAGGAGTTACCCTCTAAAAAACATTCAGTATAACTCAGTGAGGGGTTAACTTGATTCAAGAGGCAAGCACCCAGAGCATCTGGCTCTCACTTTGAGGACATTCTCTTGTCACTGATCTGAAAAGTCAGCAGCTGAAAAAGAAAACGGTTGGCGGCAGTTGATATAGAAGGGTGTGGCTGGGTCACATTTAAAATGTACCATTCATATAAAATATAAATGTTATAGCTATTAATTTCATTTATTTGTTACATGAATTTCAGGTGATAATTCTAAAGAGATATAAAATTCATAGATTGGGAATATCTGAACTCAACTTCTGGGTAAGGTTCAATGTTTTTTAACACGGTTTTTTAAACACAACTTTTATTTCTAGAAAAAATATAATAATATGCCTCAACAATAATGATTTATGTTTTTTTTTAAATTTATTTATTTTATTTTAAGGATAAAAGGAGGGAAACATTAACAGACATACAACATTTTACAACATATCACAAGCAC